CAGATGGACCTTATTTTCCCAGGGGAATGGTGGTTCGCTGCTCGCCTGCTGGCTTGCTCCAATGTCGTATCCGGAAATGGGTCGTCCGCTCCATTCATGATTCCCCCCCATTTCCCGTTCCCTGAGAGGAGGACAAACTCTGGCTAAAAAGACAAGACGAGGCAACACACGACCAGAAAGAGAAGGCCACATCGTCCTAGATCGTAAGGTGGCATCAAATTACCCCTAACTCGAGTATAGTGTCTTTGGCGATGCAGCTATTCCCAAAACCGTCCCCTCGACTCTCGAGTTCAGTCACCCGACTTAAGCCAAGCCGGATCTTGGTTGCGCCTCTGCCTTTTGACCCGTCTATTGTCTTGGCAGAAGACGCCCACCTCGACTCCGCTGAACCTGCCTGAGTGGCCTGTCAAAGCAGCTCCTCTCCCAGCTCCAGACTAGCGCCGACTTTTCTTTGTCTGCGACCGATCCACAAAGCAAAGCTCCTTTACAGCCCCTTGGCAATAAAACATCCAAAGACAACAGTCTCAAGGGCGAGGGAAATGTTTTCAGCCACTCAGCACGCGACAATTCCCCGACCATCTGCTTTTCGAAAGTATCCGTATACAGGCCAATTTTGGTTCTGGCTCTTTTATGCTGACACCACAAGTAACAACCATCCACAATTGCCTCTCAATATTGGCCCCCATGAGATACGAAGCAACCGCCAATTCAAGACTCATGAGAAAGTGAGAACCCACATGGGTCCGCTGATCAGAAACGCATTCTTTAAACCGAAACACTCCGAGCTCTGGATGACTTCAGCAGAGCTCCATCTTGCATAACACAGAGATAAGGCCACGCCGCCACAGTAAAGGGTTGCTACGATGTGTGGCAGTCTGCTAGCACACTGGCCGCCAACAGAACATGGCATTCATCAGAAATGGTTGGTGGGTGTCTCGAGCTGAGAGCAACTTTTGACGGACTGATGCAAGGGGGTTGCCTGCCTCCCCCGGGTCCCGTATATAACGATGCTTAGAGTTTAACATTTCGTATCCGTCAATTTTGAAATCGGCCGAATGGATACTGGCCTAATTATATTGCCCATTTTGAGCACCCTTAGAAAAAGCCATTGCACCTGTAAATACTGCATCAATTGTCGCAAGTAAAGCTCGGCAGCACCATTATGGGCACTGTGCCTACCAGCACCGACTTGAAGGGTCTCTAGTCTTGTCTCGACGCCAGTGGATCCACCGGCCCCGTCTTTGGAATCCTCTCCTCGGGCGCGGCGGCAATGTCGGTAACGGCGGCCAAGCCTGCACCCGGGGCGGCGGCACCCGGGGCGGGTCACGACGTCAAGTTGGAAACCCGTCAGCCGGCGACTAAGCGGGATCGTCAGCAATTAGTATCGGATTTCCTGGACAAAAATTCACATTCCGAATTTCGAGTTGAGGCTACGTTTGATATCCCCATTCGTCTATTGAGCCTCGCGATCTGTCCTCGCGATCTGTCCTGTTCATATTCTCAGGTATTCTCAATCAGGCAGTTCATACCTAACCAAGTTGACCAAGGCCGCGATCGCTAACAACATCGTCCCTACTGGGTAACCCTCGTAGCGCCATTTGTGAGTTGAGGAGAAACCTTGCTCTACTAACTACCACTTACGCAGCCCAATAGGGCCCGTACAGCTCCAAGGTCGACGGGTCAGGTCAAACTGGCTGGGTGGTGGAGTGGTCCAAGGTCAACAATCAACACGCTAACCAGCCTACTCGACGACAGGCTTAGCGAGTACCCGAGTTCGAATCCCAGCATGAGCACCAAGAGATGTAGCCTACCGAGGTGAACTCTTTTTGGATCCACTTGTCTAGATAAAATCCTTCCAGGTCTTTGAGAGGTTCTCGGCTGTCGGATTAAAGATGCTTTCACTTTGACACCTTTACGGTCGATATCCGACTAATTAGATTCTGACTTACAACATCATTAATACCATTCTTTGTCGCGCTAAGCGTAACGATCTCCCACTCCTTGTAAAGCTGAAGCTGCTCTTCTCACTTCTGCCTTATAATAGCTAACGCGTCCGCCCGAAGTGCCATCCGGATGCAGAAGAGCTTCGGGGCCGACGCAGGGCCCAGAGCAACAACGGGCTTTTAGGAGGGACTGAAGCTCCCTATGCAAACCCACCTGGGAGACATATCATTGTGAGCTCTGCAGACCTGCTACTACTGATACTAGTTCCATTACTCCACATTTAACAGTCAACCATTTTGATAAACATTATTACGCTTGGACTTCACAATCATTATGAGATTCCAAGATGATTGAAGGCGGGCCACACGAGTACAATCAAAATCCTCCTAACTCCCCTACGAATCTTGAAAAAAAAAAAAAAAAAAAAAAAAAAACCTATGTTCGAGGCAAGCTGGTTAACGGAATAACCTTCAAGTAGAAGGGAACCCCGATCACCGAGGGTGAGACTATGGTGCCGGTGCTGGACAGACTTGTGGCACTAGACGATAACGTGCTGTCCGCACTGCTAGTCAAAGCGGAAACGGAGGTTCGAGTGGTGGAAATTGTAGTATTGGAGAAGGGTGGATCGCTTGTGGTTATAACTGTGGTGGATGAGGAGAGCCCGTCCCTCGACGTGTCCGACAAAGTTGTGGGTGTTGTACCACTACTAGTCGGACCATTGGTTGTTGTCCCAGGGGAAGGGCTGGCTGTAAGACTCGCAGTTGAAGTTGGGCTCGTGGAAGTCGGTCCACTTGTTGTCGAGGATGGGTGGGTCAACATCAGGCTGGAAGTCGTAGTTTCGGTCGTGCTACTGTCAGCACTGATGGGGCTACCGGTGGTCGTTGTGATGCTGCTTCCTGACGAAGAGAAAGTTGTAGCGAGTATGCTGTGGCCATCACTGAAGCTTGGGGAGGGAGACGGCGTAGAAAGGTTTGAAAATAAAGTCGAGGAAGAAGAATCCGAGGATGACAATGACGTGGGAAATAAGGTTGAAGAGGTTGCTGCAGAGGATGATGGAGAGCTTGTAGCCGTAGAAGTGGTGTTAGATGACGCTTGAGAGGTTGTTGACACAATCGGGGAGGATGTGAAAGATGTCGTAGAGGTTAGCGATACAGCAAATGAGGTGCTACTGGTAATTGTTGCCGTCCTCACTGTTGAAGTGGCATAGACAATGTAAACCGGGGCTCCGTTGTAATATCCACCACAAGGAAGAGAGAAATTCTGGTTCGGTATTCGTTCTACTTCGCTGCATGCAATGGTGCAAAGTCCTCGGTTTGGCGGAGGATCAGCAGCGAACTCGATCTTGGTAATACCATCCTTGGAGCAGTAACACTTCCCGTCGAGTAAGAGAGATGCAGAACGAGAGATCGCGATGCATGTAGTCTGGCACTTCGTAGGGCCGTTAGTCAACGGATCGTCATACTGAAAGTCTATAACATTGGCTGCGTCGGTGACCACACCGCAGTTTTGATACGAGTAGGGCGCTTTAGAGAGGTATAAACCCATGATTGCAAAATTCGGCCTCAAAGTTTGAAAAGCGCAGCATCAACATACGAGTCACGATACAAGAGGGAAGGGAGAAGTTTGGGGCTTTTAAAGCTTGTGACTATCTGAAGTGGGCGCATTTGTGATCGCAGTCAAGGGGGAACATGAGGCTCTTGGAATTGAATACCAAGCCACATCATTTTCTTTCGGAACGTTGTGCGACTGGGAGAAATTTGATGCGCAGAACCCGAAAGCGTCTATCAAATGGAGGAAATATTCTCTCCCGCTTACTGGATCGTTTACGTATCTGATTCTACTGTTTATACGACTATTATCATTATGAAAACCGATCTCTCCTTTACTCCTTATTTATTTGGCAGGTACTATACGTCAAGGTGCCTTGGAAAACGATCGTGCACAAATTCAGTCTAATGAGAAAGACAGTAGTAATAGGAGAAGAGGTAATCGAATTGGCATGTATGTTGAGGTATTGACCGGCATGCTAGCTAGGTATCGTGTTACCCACTTGTCTATTTCAAACATGTTCCTGAATTGAAGATAGTCCATTCTCTCTAATTCGTTGAAACAGTTGGGAATTCCGACTCCAGTTGTGGTTGCTCCTGCACGATGATTGGGTCTTGTACGGAGGCACAAATCTAGATTCGGATTTGGATAACTGAGACAGTCTCACATTGAGCCTCTCATTTAGTCGTGGCCGTTGGAGTGCCTGTTTGAAAGGGTTGTCTTGGAGGAATGACACAAAGACGGCGAATTTTGTCGTTAATACCTACTCCAAGAGGACTCGAGCTCCCTCCGCGCTGGTCAAGACAATGCCCAATGCTGCCTCTCCATACCTACAGGCTCATTAGGTACACCGGGGGGAAGTCGAATGCCTGGAAATCTTTGCAAAATTCTAACAATTGCGTAGCTCGACTCCATGATTGCGTAATCCTCTGCTCGAGGCGTTAATACAGCTCGTATCTTCAAGGTAGGATACTTACTGCCGAGACACACGCGTGGTCCACCATGAAAATCCAAGAAGCCGCCAAGCCCGGCCTTTCGGGTCAAGTCGCTGTCTTCCCATCGGCTTGGTCGATAATCGAGAGCATCGGGGCCATATATAGCTTCGTTCCGGTGCAAATGGTATGTAGACCATCCGAGGCCAACACCTTTCCGAATCAGAACAGGGGATTTGCCATCGGGTCCGCCGCCGTGGGGTAAGACGGTCGTTCGAGTCGCAAAGCGGACGTTGACAGGAAGCTGGGGGTATAGACGAAGTGCTGACGTTACTTTAGTCAATTGTGTTCGTAGAGTATGGCGCCGTGATTTGGCTATGACATACTCTCATTTAGGCAGCACCTTAGAAATGGAAGTTCTTGAATATGCTTCCGTGTGAGAACGCCAATTTTTGGTATCGCTGCGCTGGCCATTTCGCACTTCAGGCGTTCAATCAGCTCTGGGTTGCGGGTGAGGTGGAAACTGTTGGTAAGCATGGCAGCCTTAAGTGATGTAATCATGCAAGTGATATTAGCTTACAACGTCCAGTTAAGAAGACAAGCCGTTGTATCTCTGCTGGCTATAAGGACGTGTAACAACTGGTCCCGAACAATGTTTCGGTCATGCGTATCCCGCCAGAGGTCTACTATGAAAGAGTATTTCTCCATGGCAGCTTCCTCGCCATGTTCCTCCATGAAATCTAGTGCTTTATCAGAAAAGAAGGTGGCCCAGTCCCGAACACCCTTGCAAGCCTCTCGAAATCTTTTTGGTGTGTAAAGCCAGGCAAGGTCGGCAAGACGAAGTCTTATAGCTGAGATCAAGGTCGCGTAGTCGAAGTTGTCGCGGAGAGCAAGCCGCTCCTTCTCAGGCAGGTTGTGATGTGGCTCGCCAAAGAGAAGGTGTGTAGTGGTGCCGAAAGTGTACTCAAAGAAATGAGGCTGTATATCCACAACAGCAGACTTTTGTGACTCGTGCGCGAGGGCACGAAGAAGCATGTCAGTATGCTCTCCGAATGCCGTCAACTCGGAGTCCCTGATCCGCGAGAATTGGCGACGCAGCAGCTCTCGAGAGTGGCGCCAAGCAGGTCCATCTTGCGTAAAAATACCTTCACCCAGCAAAGGCATAAGTCCCATCCTGCGAGAACCTAAACCAAAGTCCTCGAAACGGGTGCTCAGGATGGCTTCAATGTTGACGGGATCGGTAATGGTGTAGCCTTCTCCAAGAATGTCAATCCGCAGAGTCGGCGCAATGTTCATGTATCGTGTTTGAAACTCTAGCAAACGGCCGCTGGGCAAAGCATCATACTGGCGTTTGAGAAGGTCTAACGCGAAAGGCCACTTATACGGTAGATTCGCCTGAACCGGTTTGCAGCCGTATTCAGCTGAGATAGCTTCTTCTTCCCGCTTAACTCTCTGGTATCGCACATACCATCTGACACAGTATATCAGTGTTCCAGCAAGGAAAAGGATCCGGCAAACCAAAAATGGCCAATGGCTGTGTTCAAAAACACTTATATCATGTACAGATAGCATCGTGAAGACAATGTGTTATTTTGCTCAGACAATGGATTGGTATTGGAACCTCTAGAGTTAATAGATGGGCGTCATAGATAGTGAGAGAAACGAAGCAGCCGGAAAGTGGGAAGATAATTCAGAGGCTAATCAAGTCGTTTTTGTATTCGATTTACGAATGCGGCACGATGAGCTAGCATACATGTCTTTGTTGGTATGTCGGTAGAATGCATTTCCTGTTGGTTTGGTAAAGGTGATAAACACTTGGCGAGACTATCGCGGCCGCCCGATTGGATACGCGAATCAACAATGACAAACATACTGTTCTCGCCGCCGCTGGGCTGCTGTCATGGATCCCAGATCCCGACTACCGCTGGCCGGGAGAAGCACAGCGGTCCTGGTTGGGTGCCGCCCTACGTCGAACACTAGAATGCGGAACTTAATTATAAACGTCTCAGGCTTGAGTCGTATAGCTGGTTGAATTCGTTCCCAGGAGGGCATTTTCAAAGTTCCTGGATAGCTAGTTGCAAGCACATTCCGTCCCAGAACTCAAGGTTGGCAGGGATGGTCTCTACAGCATTGGAGGCCGTATGAAGATAATCGGGGTCTCTGGGCTTTCGCTGATTGGAGGCTTTCACTACCTGACGAACAAATATGGGTTTGCAATGGATAATATCATGAGCTATGAAGTCGTACTCGGCAATGGAACGCAGGTGGTTGCCAACACGACTTCCTACATGGACTTATTCTGGGTATTGAAGGGCGGCGCAAACAATTTTGGAGTTGTGACAAAGTTCCATCAAGGCTTTGCCTAACCTACAAATTAGCACCACTCTTCAGGTCTTTTGACGAGTCTGTGGTCCGAGAGTTCATTGACGCTACAGTTGATTTGGCAAAGAAACAAAACCCCGAGGTCGGCGCCCGTTCCATCATCACCATGATGTACAACACAACCACCAAAGGCATTTCTGCCGTACTTCGAGGTGAAAGAAGGTACCGAGTCACCACCCTCGAGCTTCCAGAAGTTTCCAGACCTTCCGTCTGTCTTGACTAAGAATGTGGTCCAATGCCCCCTCGATTGGCATGCTCAGTTGGATAGCCCGTTCCAAATGTTCAGGTATGATCTCGCAGTTCCGAAAACCCTTCGAACCGAATCCGGATCGTGACTTCATTCAGTACTAATATCACATTGCCACAGGATCCAATTTGGCCACAAGACGATAAAAGCAGATGCAGACCTACTCTACCGTGCTTCTATGGCTTGGAAAGCCGCTGTTGAGGACATCAGTGCCGCGAAAGGTCTGATCCCAACTCCTGTTCTAAACATAATACCGGCAAGCGCAATGTGTAGCCAAGAAAAATGGAATCGGCAACACCTGGGGCCTGGACAATACCGAGGCGTTGATCAGTGAGTCCAAAAAGAACTGATTAGAGGTACATCGCTAATTCTGCATCCCTTAGTTTGGAAAACCTCCACCGCATGGGACAATGAGGAGAGCAACTTGCGTGTAGCTAACTTTGCTCGCGGGTTCTTGACTATCTGCATGCTGGAAACCAGGTGAAGGGTCTTGCCTCAGAGTTCATATACATGGATGACGCCGTGGAGTTCCAGAATCCGTTTCTTGGATTTCCTGTTGAGAATCTCGCGAAGATGAGGGACGTGAGGGTGGCATATGGCCACTTGGATGTTTTCACGCGACAGAATTGAGGACATGGAGGCTTCAAGCTTCCTAGGACTTGAAAGCACACTCGAAGAAGCGTAAATGTTGTAATCGCAGTATACAGGCCTTGTTATAATGTTGGTCCTAGAGCGCTTGCTAAAGTCTTGCCGCGGACATTGCCGTCGATCGTTTGCTTGATCTTGTGCTGCATTTTTGCGATAACGAGACTCAATGTATTACAGATACTCAATTGCATATATTCATTATGTTGTATTGCTACATGTAATGGGCTTAAACTCTACACAGTGCTGTAACATCGATATCTGAAAAGATTAAATGTACAAAAACTTGATGCGTTGAAGGAAATCTGAAGGACATGGGCTCTGTGCACCAACTCAGCTAGCCCGTGAGTAGATCTCGAGCTTACATTGAGTGGTGAACTTTGACATTTACGGATTGTGGTAATTGGGGCCTAGGGCTCATAGGTCAGGACTTGCTGCCAAATTTTAAGATTTCATAGTCTCTCATGATCTTGGCCGGGATTTAAACTTCTCCCGACTTCTTGATTCCTCAACTTCCAGTGCAGTTCACGTTCATAAGACGAAGCGTACATGTTCAGATCAACCAAGATACCTTGCAATGAAAAAGAGATAAGGCCATCATCTGAATCGAAGGTTTCCAAGTCGGCAAAAAGTGTTGACATTGCGTAGACATCTAACCTTGAAGACTGGTAAATAAAAGAAAAATGAAATGAGGAAAAGTTACTTGTGCTAGAAGACAACTCCACGGAGTTTATTCTGTATATTTCCTGGATGGCAGAGACACAGAGACAAAGAGGCTTCGTATTTCAGAAGCCTCGGCTCAGTGACCACCATACTCCCTCCCGTGAGTATTCTTGGGTGCCCAGTTTGCACTTAAATCTTGAGCGCTGGAGGTCCCCGATGGCACAAAACTTCTCATTTCATGTAGTCCTTCGGTGGAGGTGACGTTTCCGTCTTCATCCACGGTCATTACCTTGCTGGGGTGGAACGCAGCTAGGATGAAAGTGACGAGAAAAAGAAGAGCCGCGTCAAAGACGAAGAGGAACACCTCGGTTGTTTGCAAGCTGATGATATGAGTATTTAGTGACCGGAAAAGGAAGCAGAAGATGTGACAAGACTCACTATCCATTATAGCCTTGGATGTACTCAATGACGCGGAAAAGTGAACGAATTAAGACCAGTACACTGACGCCGTATAAGATCCAAAGAAACTTCTCCCATGAGGCGGCGTGTGTCAAACTCTGACCTCTCTTTTGAGAAATACGCCAATGGAAGACTGCTGTGACGGCAATGAAAAGAGCAAAGCCAATGAGCTGAATGAAAAGACCAACAATGATCACGTTTTCTCCCAGTTGAATCTTGCTCGGCGACTTGGCATTGGTGAGAATACCCCCACCTCCGCTCTGTACCAGAAAGGAGAGGACATCGCTCGTGATGAAAACCTTCGTGAGAATCGCCGGCTTGACCGGGCTGTAGTCTTGGCTGTTTGATAGAATAATGAGGCGACCTAGCATGCCGTAGATAGATGCTGCTAGCAACGACGGGGCGATGAGCAGCATGAGGGATTGTAGTGCGTAGGGCATCACCTGCCAGTTCGGGGTTTGGGCTGCCGATATGGCACGCGCAACATAACCAAGGATTTCGCAGATAATGCCGACGATGAATGGAATGAAGAAGCGAGTTCGTTTCTTGTTAAGAAGAATTGCGTGAGCGGCAAAAGTTGAAGAGAATAGGACGATGAAGACGCAAGCGGCAGCCATTGAGGGGTCGTATAAGTAAAGAGATGCCATGACCTGGCTGTCGCTTCGGTGATGTATCGATGCCATGGTGGTTCGGGTATCGGCAGGGAATGATAGTTCTTTGATTGCGTTCCAAGCTAAGCTTTTCTGAGTTAACCTAGGAAAGTCGAAGCTTCTGAAATGTTCGATTTTCAACTTCTCGAATCATCCGTCGTGGACAGTGGCTTTTATATTCATACAAGATTTTGGCCGACGAGATGCCCTGTCTCAAACACGAAAAATTCAGTAGCATGTATCCTCTCGGTCTAGATATTTTCCTTAAGATATTCAACTCAGCGTATGCCCTAAAATAGCATCATGGTGGGTTGTACGTATAGAATTCTCCGTCGAAGAGGATATTGAGCCCCTTAAGCTACTGACCGCTGCGGTCACTCTGTCTGAATCAACGTTCATTGTGGTGGCGTAGCGACTGTCTGATGATCTCACGCTACCAATACGGCAAGAAAACTCCTATGTTGCTGCCTGGGAGGACATTGGACCAATCTTTTCTATGTCAAAAGATACGTTGCTCCTCCTATCATCAGTCTAGAGAACTTCGATCTCGGCCCTTAAAAGATGGATCCTAGTTTGCAAGGGGGGCGAGGGCCCGAGATACACGTAAATGCTTGTATTATGGAGAATTATGGAGATACGCGTATTCAATCCGAGTCATCAGGGGTACGGATGCAACCTCAATGAACGCTCAGCCAACTAATTAAATACTTGGACCCTGCTTTGTACGGCCCGGCAATGTTGTCAGCCGCTGACCGGACTTAATGCATTTCACACCGTCAACTTGAGAGGGATGTTCGAATCATGACAAGGAGAGCCTTATTCTTTCCCGTGGCCGGCAATTCATCGAAGAGAAACAAACTCAAATGAAAGTCTTCAAAAGCATATTCAATCGCAATGTTACGCCGTCAACACAAGAAAAGCCGTAAAGGATGCATGGAGTGTAAACGGCGGCATATGCGGGTAAGCTATTCCTTTAGCCAGCATTGCCGTTGGCCTTTTGCCTTCTTGAGATTTCTTTTGTGCGCAGCATCTGATTGACTGACATACTTTGCTTTTGAGCAGTGTGATGAACAACGGCCCACATGCTTCAACTGCGTCAAGGCCGACCGTCTCTGTTCTTTTGCCGACGAGCCATACATGAGAGTAGGTCAGCCACACCTATTTGCAAAAACAAATACGTGTAATTGACCAAATCAAACAAGGGCCATGATGTGTCCCCCCGATCGGATCATCACTCTGCTAAGAAGGCATCATCAGATGTCCAGCCAGACAGAGATCCTGACGCCGTCAACATGCTTCACATGGAGCTACTTCTTCACTTCAGCTTCGACGTCTATGTCCCCGAGTTCGATGACAACCTTGGGAGACCTGCGACCGAGCTGGTTCTGAAAATCGCCCAGGAGGCCCCTTTCTTGATGCAGGGGGTCCTGGCCATGTCTGCACGCCATCTTTCCATTATCCGGCCCGAGAAGTCGGCGCTTTACCTCGATCAAGCAGTCAGGTTGCAAACCAGGGCGATCGAAAGGTTCAACATAACGCATAATGAAGAAGGCAGGAAGACATGCGTAGCCCGACTACTGTTTTCCTCTGTCCTCGGCCGTCACATCTTGGCCGATGTGCTTCGTAATGACGGCCTGGACTTCCCTAGTTTCTTGAACCGCTTCACTCACGGTTTCAGGATTCATGGCGGAGTCAAAGCTGTCGCCGCTCAACAAGATTGGGCTTCCCTTTTGGATACTGAATTTGGCCCGTTGATGACCAGGGGATTGGCTGCGGACATGTACGATAAAACCATTGAACCAAATGAGGTTCTGCAGTCTCTCATAGCTCACTCATCCAACTTGGATGAAGAGGAAAGGTCAGCATGTGAGATGGCACTCCGACTGGTGGATACTGGCCTCAATGACCTAAGAGATCCGACCAGGGTGGATTGCGGACGACGGATGATGTTCACATGGTCGATCATGCTATCTGATTGTTACATCTGCCTTTTGGAGCGCCAGGTCCCGGAGGCGCTGGTGGTTTTAGCACGATACAGCATGTTCCTGCACTTCGGTAAGAGCTTTTGGCAGATCGGAGAGGCTGGGCCGCATCTTCTCCATGCCATCAGTGCTCACTTGGGACCAATGTGGCAGCCCTGGCTATCATGGCCGGAAGAGTTTCAAGACATTGAGAATGGAAAATTCCCTGGGCTAAACGGGAATATTCATTTCTAATCTTCTGGAGGCTTAAAGGCGGAAATCTCGGTGTAGGAGGCGGAAGTCTTGGGGAGAAAGCTGCTTATCTGAAGAAGTTGTTGACCTGACGCGACACGACAATGGCAAATTAGATCAAAATCAAGATTGTTCGATGACTGCTTACTCTATAACTTGCCTCTCAATTATTGAACTTCTGGATCGCACAATCTCCAACCAGCCTAATTGTGAACAAAGGAGGAAAATTTTCATACTTCGGGGCTGAATCTGCCACGTATACGCTCCCCAAAGATGTAGAATGACAACAAGATTGGAACAAGGATTAGTGCAATGAACCCCAACAAGCTATTCCCCCAACCCAGCCCCAAAGCGTTATACATTTCTAATCCAGATAAGGGCAACAGAGCACCAAGGAGCGACCTCAAAATGGTCAGTGCCGCTGTCACCGAGGCGGCATATCGAGGATAAGAATCAATGAGATAGTTTTGGATGCATGTCTGCCATGTTTTCAGTGAATGTAAACACAGATTACTTGATCAGATCGAACTTACTGTTATGCCCATCAATCCAATACACATTACCATAACGCCCAACATCGGAACAATCCAATGAATCCCGTTCTGTGCCGTCCAGCCGTAGAGAAACAAGCCGAATGGCAAGGCCAGCGCACACGGAACAGTCATGATTGGTTTCAGTCGAACTTCGGGCTTATGCTCCAAGCCTCTGGCTTTTGTCCGCTTCACGATCAAATCGGTCAACTACCCAAAACCGATCACGCCAATGACCATGCCAATGCCGGCGGGAAGGAAAGACAGGCCACTCGAACCCTCGTCAAATCCATAGTGTTCTACGTAGACAAAAATGAAAGTTACTACCAGGAGGTATAGGATGCCATAGGAGATAGCGATATAGAGGGCGCTAAGAGTGACGAGTGGAGTAGCTACCAAGAGCTTAATCGGGCGCATAACGGCAAGACGAAATTTTTCTAACATAGAGGTCTTTTATTCGAGCCTGCTTCGTATCCCTTAGTTCCCAGTCTTTTTCCGACGACGGCTGGCCTTGTGCTCTAGAATGGCAGGGGGGTACGTTTCTCGTAGTCCAAGAATCGAGACTAGTATGAATATCCCTGCCTGAATAAGCAGCGTTAGTCTTAAAAGCTCTTAACGATATATATAAGGCTTAGAGATGTGAACTTACTAAAATACTGATAAGCCAAAACACCCACCTCCATCCAGCTGCGCGAATGAGATAACCGCCGGCGACCGGCCCAATACATAGGCCCAACAAGGGGCCCAGCGCCCAGACGGAAACAGCTCTACCTCGCTTCTCGGGCAGCATCATATCCGCGATGCTTCCACTTCCAATAGTGAGGGGAACAACGCCAGATAGACCCATCAAGAGGCGAAAAGCAAGCAACATCCCAATACTATTACTCAGCGCTGTCCCGATTATGAAGCCTATGAAGAGTATATTCCCAAAGATATAGAGGTACCTGCGACCGTAAATTTCGCTGATCGGGGCGACAAGCAAAGGACCAAAGGCAAATCCAAGAACGTAGATTGAGAGCAGAAAGGTTGCAGTAACAGAGCTGTCGTTGTGAAATTCTCTCATGATCAGGGGGATGCCAGGCGCGAACATCGAAGAGCCCAGAGGCCTGGAAATGTCAGTACCAAACATGAGAGATATTTCTCGAAGCCAGAGGCCTAAGAATTACTGACGTGACTACGCTGAGAAGCGACAGTATAGCGATATTAAGCCCCTTCTTTCCATCTGACCAATTCAAGGGGTGTTCAGGGTCGTCTTGCCCGTCCCAATCGATGATGAGAGCTTCTCCGCCCACTGCATGAACAGCTTCGGGATCATGGTTCTCCGTGGAGGGCTTCGAGGCAGGAATCTGCGCTTGTGGCTCTTGCGTATTTGGTTGGATCTTCTTGGGGGCATCAGAAGCAGCTTTCGAATCCGATGTTCCTGCCATAACTGCAAACGAAACCAGAATTTTCAGTCGAGAGTAGAATTCAAGGAGGCTCCTGCACATATGAACTTTCGATACAAATAGCTCATGTTATCGGCCCTGGCAAACCGCAAGATACTAGGAGGCACACAATCACTGAAACACGCGTATTCGAGGCGAGATCGTTTAGTTCCTGTGGCCACTGCAGATATCCAGCAACAAGCCGACCTGAGCTATGACAAAATCATGCGGAATGTGTCCAATTAGCTTCTAGCGGCATGCTGGTTGCACTCCCGGTATTTTCTAACCCAGGTTCAGAGAGATCCGGCACTCCGCGGTGCCTGTGGGTAGACGGAGCTGATCAGTAATTTCCAACCTCCAGTCGGCTGATGTTCAAGTGCGAAAAGTCCTGATAGCCACCATTGATGGAAAGAAAGATAGATCCGTCGATATGTCACGATGTTAGCCGGCACGCTGAACGTTTTGATATCGCACCTAGGCCGCACTCACGCCAAGAGCCCTACCTTTACACATAAGGTGATGGAATTGATTATTATCCATCAAAATCTGAACCTTCTTACACCTATATCAGCAATGCTTGAACGTTATTTGCGTTGCGAGCACGATGAATGGTAGACCCGAGACTGAATTCAATGAGACACTGCTAAGTACGCTCACCCAAGATCAGTGATATCATATCACCTTCTTTCATTGCATACATTGCTCAATCGTTCATATTTTCCGTAGGAAATCTTGATTTGCCTTAATTGATGTATCTAATTATCAACCGGGGGCAGAGGAATTGCGACAGGCTCTTGCTCGCCGGGTGCCAAATCAGGACCATCAGGGTCCGGAATGTCTTTGGTACAGTCCTGTCCGTCCTTCAAGCCGTTGTAGAATGCTTGTTGGTAAGCCCCATCAAGAGATCCTTGAATATTGGCGTCGTTAAACGGAACTTGGGTCTTTTCGTATTTGACATCAGTCAGGGCCTGCCTCGCCGGACCGGGTAACGAGCTCCACGCGATCAGGGTGCGATTCGAGGCCGCGGATATATCTGCATCTTGAAAGGGTGCCATGGCATTATCGTGGATGGAGACAATCGGGTTCGTGGGCGAAGTTCTGAATTTGAGGTCACCAACAGCCGCAGTGCCCCATGTCAAGTGATCGACTGTGTATGAGATGCCAACGACCCGGTATGAGGAGGGTTTCTCGGCGTTGCAACCCCATCGATTTACCCAGACCACAACACTGGCCCAGTAGTGGCGGTGACCCTCATCGTTTCCTTTGCCCCACCGAACCTTGGGGAAATAGTAGCTGTAAATGATGGCATCACGGCCGTGACTGCTTCCGTGGCGAGCATAGACTTGGCCAGCGCCGCCGTTGCCGCAGCCTGATCTCCCACCGCCTGTAGGCTTTAGACCTGCTCTGTTTCATTCCATTAGATATGACTTTGTTCTATAGGACGAACAACATGGAGGCTTACCCAAGAGCCCCGCTGGCATCGACTGCTGGGTACGGATCACAACCTCCCGTAACGGCGAGGAACGGGTTGAATCTACGTTCCAGGCGACCGTCTGTTCCGGGAGAGGAGTCCTGTTTGAAAGGTGTGATCATATCGTGATTAGCCCACGGATGGCCACCTGAATCGTCGCCTCCACGGGGCAAGATGCCAGCTAGGGCAGCCTCCGAGAAGAGGAGGCATACTGTGAGAAGGTGCTGAGCTCTCACAAACATGTTTTCAGTGGATGTGTAAATTGAGCCGAGACAGAGGCTATGACACTAGCAAGTCGCTGATGAGACATCTCGAGAGGTGCGTATACTTAAGAGATGATGATAACGATGTTGATATGGGCAACAGTGGTTGACTGCGATAAATTCTGCCCGCTCCGCGAAGTTCTCAGTCGTTGTCCATTTGAGTTTAATTAGACGGCGTCGCCGGCCGCCGCACGGCACGGCACGGTGGCCAGTGCCACCAGAAGCTTCTTGGTCATGGCGAACAAAACAACGAGAATTAGACTATGGCCTGCGCAACTTGAACAATTATATGACTGTCTGCCTTCGGCAATATCGGCGGTCTTTGCGTTCATCTCGTCCGCAAGAGCTAGCTGAAATACTTCCATGATATCCGCGCCGATTCATCGAGCTTCCTTTACTAGTGGAGTCCTTGATTAGTGTAAGTTTCTTGATATAATTGAACTAGATAAAATTAATTGTTCTTATTATGAGCCAGCAACTCCATGTTGTGCCACTCCCACATTGAAGTTGATCACGCCAAAAATGAGGCTACAGCTGACTTTGAAGGAACGAGGCACTTCATATATTACTGAATGCCAGTAAAACTCAAAGCCAATGGTCATTTCCGCAATGTGCCCACCCATTCTAGATGCGCCGGAAGATGTGGTTTAGTCCGATGTCTCTTTACATTATCTAAACGGCATCCGACTTACGTCTGTTTTCTTCCCTTCGAAGCTTTCCTTTCTGCTTGCTCGTTGTGTCTCCTAAAGCTATAAAGGCTTCTATTGCACAATGTCGAGCACGTCACACTCCCTCGGGGCAAGCGGCCTCCGCCTCCTATTGTCATTGGCAGTCCTTCAAGCAGCCCTCGTTGGCGCATCCCCCGCACCAGTCGCAAGACCCGACACTCTTCCCTATGCTGATGACGAACCTCTCGCCAAGCGAGTCGTAGGCCAGTTTCCCAGCTTTCCTAATGACTACAGTGGCCGTGTCCAAAAGGGTGTCTACCTCCGTACGCTCATGCCGTTGAGCGACGCGGAGGCGACCCGCCATAACCGCGGGGTCAGCGTCGCGAGTCCGTGGCAGAACCAGGCCGCCGTCGAACAGTGGGGATGGACGCGCGAAATCAACTGGGCGCCGTTCAACACCAACGGTGGTGACGAGTTCAGTGACGGCGACGACTTTGACCAATTTGAGACCTCACCTGGTTTTGGTAACCTCATGGACGATGTCTTCGCAGACCCGAGTCACCCAGTAGACCCAATGGAGAATGGGCTGTCTACTTTCCTGCATGCAAATGACTTTACACTTCGGGATGGCTCATGGGGAGAGGTACGTTCTGAGTTCCGACTCCGATGAAGCCAGCAATCTCAGCCTTCAATGTCGTTGATCTTTGACTAATAACTCACTCTTTTCCTCCAGCCATCGCAAGCCTCTTACCAAAACGTCTTCAACCCTCGCTCAGGAGCAATCATCTTTGACAGAGACTTCAGCCCCCGGTATCAAATAGCCGAAAGCGGCGCCGGCGACGTCCCAGAACTTGAACAGCTCTCCGACCTCGCCTACTTTCAATGGCTCGATGCCTGCGCAGCAAAGCGTGTTCGTCCCAACAACATTAATCTCATCTTCCAGTCTCACATCACCTACGTCCCCAGCTTTAATCTCATTGCACAGGCTCTGTATGATGCCGGGCACCGCAGGGTGCCAGGCTGGGGTCAGAGGGTGACATTCTCAATGGACTCCCGTCCGGGATTAGCCATTCTCGGGAGCACGCACGGCGCCGCTCCGGCCTTGTTCCTCATCCAGCACAAGGCGACATTTGGTCGGAAGGTAATTACGGAGGTGACGGTATGGGGAGGCGCGAGCGGTTTCAGTTTTAGAGCGAACCCAGAAGTTGAGACTCTTAACCTGAGATTTACCGTCAGGGACGCCTAAACGATTTCCCCACAAAATCAGGAAGTTCCGAGAATATAGAAAGAGAATATGAAGCGGTTAACTGAGATATGTGGACTGGAAGTTCTTCCAAGTAAGCTAAATCTGACGACCTGGACTCTACACTTTTCGAGCCAACTTTGGTTCGGCCTTCATATCCTGCATAGATTTCGACATAGAGTTGCGATAGGTTTCAGAGACTGAGGCAAGTTGTTCGCTGCTCCACCTTGTACATCATATTGCCTCAGGTCCTGAATCGCACACGCGAAATCCTTGCTTGGGTTCGCATACTTTGTCCCGCTCCGACTGCCAGAACTCAGATTATCAAGAGCATTTTGCATGCCCTCATAAGTTGCGATCTGATCGACAAACTGCTGTGTGATGGTCTCTTCGCGGCGAGACTCGGGGCCTTTCCATGCATTGGTGTAGTAGTGTCCCAGCTTGGTGCAGTGGATAATAAGCGCTGCGAGGCCAGCTGCAAGAGCTGTGGCAACCGACGAGCCTGTACGTTCATTCCTAGTAACGAGATCGCTGATTTGAGAGTCCAGGGCCTCTGATATGGTGTCGGAATCACGGCTGTCATCTTCAAAAACATCCTTGATATCTACGCCTGGAAACAGGTAGTTCAGCCCATTCTGGTCGGTAACTTCTGGCCAGACCTGCCCGTGAGGATCAGCAACACCGATGCAGAGCACTTTGACGTTGTTAATTTCCCGCGGGAACTCTTCCCTATTACCGTGCTGACTGCGTCCTTGGATTCCATCGTCGCTCGCTGCGCAAAACATGATGGGTATCCGACGGCGTTGACTGCCGGTGCCCTCACATGCGCTCACGACATTGCGTAGCTCCATGAGTGTGGCTTCTGGAATCTTATTGTTGCCGTTACGGATGGTCCAAGACATACTAATAATGTCGACATCCTGCTCTATGGCCGCTTTGATAGCCTGCGCAAGTTGGTCAGATCCGTAGCTTGTTTACGCGCTGGTCAAAAAATGGCATCGATATCACAAAGCCTGACAACAGAACTTCGCTCGAATTAGGCTTTGGAACATAGACTCATAATGCTTACCTTAGCTGCGCTGCTTGCATCAGGTACTCGACGATTGCTGGAGGCGTCTCGGACGGTTTTCAGACGATATGGTATCATGTCCGCAAATGGGCAAATACGAAGAATCGTTTTTGCCATGAATGTTCCATGGCCGCTGACAGACGAGTAGACCGGATTCGGTCCATCAGGCGTTTGGTCAAAGCTTCGACCTTCCAAGAAGCGCGACTCTAGACAACGCATGCTTTTGCTAAAGAGATCAACTCCGTCGCCGATCAGTGCAACCCTTACTCGACGCAAGTGAGGGTTCTTGAAGTCATAGTCTGGCAGTTCTTCCGGTGTGGGGATAATCGAAATAAACTCCTCAACATACTTGAACCAGGGCTGTTCTACAAATTCTGAGGCAGAACCCGCAGCACGATCGGCCCCAGATACGCCTGTCGGCGTTACTCTGCCCACATCGACAGTTTGAATGGTTGGTAGGCTCTTGCAGTCGTCGTCGAACTGTTCATGTGCTTGGGCCAGGGTTGACTGCCTGGACAACTGCATGTGTACTGGCGCCTGAGTACTAGTTGAGTTCTGATTCGTCTGTCCCATCTTCGCCGGACATCGCCTTGGCTTATTCATGCGCCTTGTGAAGCTTTCAATGTTCTTGCGTATGCGACTTTCCTCGATCGATGGTGCTGTGTAGTAGATATACACCTTTTGCAGATATTCAAGGGCAGGTAGTCCCTCAGGCTCGCTCCATCCACGCAGGACAGAGTTCCGACCACTCCAATGTAGATGAAGTTCGCGAACCTGCGGCGTCGCTGTCTGTATCACCTCAGGGCAGAGATCTTCCTTGTGCCAGTCGAGAACTTCGACATCAAAAGAGGCATACTTCTTTTTCCCGTGCACGAAGCCCGCTAGAGCCTTTTCAACCTCCTCGTCTCGGTGAGGGTGGTCGCCGTCATAGACAACAACCTTGAAGATCTTGCGAACACCCCACTCCCTGAACCAATTGAAGAATTGAAGATGATCAGTATAGCGGGATGAGCCATTAGGAGTTTTCTGATCATTCTCAAGAAGGATCGTAGCCGGCTGAAGAAAGACATGACGAAGAGTGTGATAGTGATCCCGTTTGCCGAAATAATTCCTCACCTGGGTCTCTGTCATATCACGGTATTCCTTAGCCGTATCCATTGCAAAATAGTAATCTGAGTCCTCGAATATTAGCATTCATGCAAAAGCGATCAAATAGTGGCCAAGGCTCCAGTTCCTCATCACTCAAATCAGGGGAAGAAAAATAAGGGGGTGTGACGACGCCATGCGGGCATTGGAACCAAGCTATGGAAAGCTGAACTAACTCTATGCAGGGGATTGCTTTCAGAATTTGGAACTTACGCTGTTCGTGATTTCCGAAAAATCGCTGGATTTCGGTGTCAATCTCCCGGAAGGCGTTCCTCGTCTCATCTTTGTGGAAAACAGTCGACCGCAGAAAGCGAACTCCGAGCTCCTTACAAATCTCATCACTGGCTTTGTCTGCAGCCTCAACATCTTGTTTCGTGAAGCGTATCTCTTTCGGTTTCCTCCGATTTGGGAGACCTCCATTGCGCAATAGCGGACGACGCGAGACCTGACCTTCTTTTCCTCCACCCTCGAGAACAGACGGCTGATCCATAATCGTGGGTGGGTGGGTGGCTGGGTTCTAACATGCTTGGTTTCGCCGGTCTACCAGCATAAAAATTTGGACTTGAAGAAGATATTCGCGTATATGAAGCAGTCGCAAGACCTTTCAACATCATTCCGGGCTTGGGCTGCGTTCTCTCAAGCCCTCTTTCGCTCGCGATCTCAGAGGCAGCTAGTCGGTCAGAAGGGTCCACTTGTGTCAGCGTAGATGCATTCATTTGTTGAGAATGCTGATTATGCCAAGAGTCTCTGGTGGCAATATGCCACCTGTAAACGCTGTACTTGGGTTGACGAAAAGAGCTATTTGCTTTCCAAGGTTGAAGTCTGACCTCTTTGGTCATCAAATCGTGGATGCTATCGGGGCATTTGTCAAGAATTAGCATCGCCAATGCTAGTTGGCGGTCGGAGTTGCTGAGACACAAATCGAAACGCAGAACTTGCTCCAGCGGGCTCAATTCACTGTTGATTTTAACGAGCATCTCTGGGGCCGCAAGGTTGACGAGGATCTCTAGAAGGTCTATGTCAACCGGGAGCAACTCGTTGGGCTTCTCGTTGAAGTTGAAGGCAGCTCGAATAATATCTCGACCAGCTTCTATGGTGTCGGGATTCTGCTCGTTCTCTTCAAACCAGGTTTCAGCGAAACTGAAGGTCAGTGTGGCTAAAGAAGCTAAGTTGCGCTTCTTCATATCTTGTGCCATGAATTCGATGACGACACGAACCATCCTTTGCGAGCGTCTCCTGATGAACTCTAGCAGAGGCATAGCTCCACCAAAGTTCATCAGAATTGCTTCTGGTAATTTCCCGAGGATGGCGTTCAGGACTTCCGTAGGGCAGTTGTCCGCTCTTTTGGCATCGCGAAGGAACTGGTGAGGAATCGTGCCATCTTCGTTGATCTCGTCGGCATGATCCTCGACGAAGCAAACAAGTTCATGAACACGTTGCATTTCAGACTGGGGATCTCGCTGTTCGCCCGCTTTTATGGTGTCTATCTCATCCGATATGTGATGGAAGGCATCGAAGAAGTCCTTTTCAGAAGAAGGAGGCGTATTATTGCACGGGTTTGTTGGTAAGTTTTCGGCTCGTGTCATTCGAATGCGGTGCTCAATTATGCCGAATGATTGCGCAGAACTCAGAGTGATAACGTGCTGGTCTGCACATCAACTTAATGGCTTGTGGCGATTGCCATTAGTTACGCTCCCAGGTCGATGTTCAGACGGAGAAAAGGAGATTTGCTCGGAGTGATTTGCTTCTGCGTTTAGGCACTGCCGAGACGCGAGAACAACGAGACGCCGAGACCACGGTCCATGTCCATGTCTTTACAAGGTGGTTGAATGCCAACTTGGCCATTCTCTCCTCGTCGTCATAGTTGTCATTTAGCTACCTATTCGACATATTGCGGCATCATCCGATCATCCGAGTCTGGTTGGAAAGACCGAGCAGGTTGGTTGGAAGCTTCCCCTGCATATGCAGCCAAGCCAATACTGCACCCATCTCTGCATGTTTGACTCTCAACTTGCTGCTCCAACCTGCTGCTGTTCAGCGTCAACAGTGTACATTCTCGTCCAGACACGCTAGAATACTCGTAGTTTGTAAACAAGCTTTCAGGTCCAGTAATAGCAGTAGTCGTCCAGAAATAACCTCGCGCAGTTTTGGTGGCACAGTTCACAATTTCACAGCCACATTGTGTTGGTCGTGTCGCCGTCCTACCAACAAGTGCCTTGTTTTCGTCCATAAAAGAGTCACTTCCCCTCCCAGTCACAGGTCTATCTATGTCTACATCAAGCAACATTGCCTCGTTACAAACCAACCAATCACTCGTCCCTCGTACAATTCCTGTCATCTCTCGGATACCTACGCAGCGGTCAAGATGTCAGATATCGAATCAGAAGACTTTTCAGACGATGGTACGGTGATCGACTTCGGCTTGTGTGCGGTTAGTGAGGCCCAATGTCAGTTTCGATTCAACTCAGACGGCATTTATACCCCGCGCGAGACTGGAGTGTTGGTCCGCTGTTCCTTAGCCGACATGGTTCACGGCCAAGCTAGTCTAGATGATACCACCCCATGCGTCCTGGTTGTGTTTGACTTTCAGCTGGACCGGATCAAAGCGACGCGAAGGATACACCAAGCCATCATAAGCCTCACTCTCCCGGAGGGCATTCGCGTGCGCAAAGGAGGCCTCTCGCCAAAGGGAAGGGTCTCATTCCACCCACAAGCAATGAGTCTCTCGCGTAGCAATGAGAGCAGTCTGTCCGCAGGCTTCAGTCATGGTGCCTCCATTGAAGGCGGTGTCAAACGCAGCGAGACGCTCAGCTTGGACACGACGGAGTACGCCACTGTCAATGGATGGACAACACGACAACCGAAGGGCAGAGTGAACGACCAACGGCCGCGTAATTGCGTCAAATGGGCGCTAATGGAGAACCCCGCCCTGCCCAAAGACGGTGTACCGCCTCATTTTCGTGCCGCTGTCTTGCTTGAGCGATATAATGGAGAAATGATGGACAAACCCGCCTGGCTCAGACAGGATTTATTCAATGATAGCAATTCTAACGTCATTGCTTTCAGCTACGGAGATTTTTTCAACTGCCAAAAGCCCATGTGCACTCGGGCTGGGCTAGAATCCGTTGCCTATGAGCTTTTAGACGATGTTATGGCTTGGAAGGCATCGGAGGTCTGTATCTCTCATCCCAGAGTATAACCAAATTGCTGACCTCGTCTTCAATGGGAGATCGTCCACTTGCCATTATCGCTCATGACACGGGTGGTGTACTTCTTAAGATGGTAAGTCGAGCTAAGGTCGCCTTCAAACCTGCTTCTATTCATAGACACTCTTTGACTTAGGACTTACCACACATTTGATGACAGGCCTTAGTCATTGCTTCTGATAACCTGAGCAAGTACAGTCAACTGCTATCCTCAATTTATGTCTTAGTAAGTCAACCTATGGTTTTGATCTGGAAAGACTGCAATGCTGAAAAAATCAAAGATCTTCCTTGGCTGCCCACACAAAACACCAAGCACTGAGTCACTTGCTAATGGGTTTGCGACTTTGATCTATAACACTCGCAGCATCCCTAGTGTCGGCCTCCTGCAAGCAATGACCACCGATGTAAATCACCTGTTCTTGAACAGCAATGTGCCTTTCAGGATGCAAATCATCAGCGTCTTCTCGGAAGCATTGGATTCAATTGACCGAGTAAGTACATATACTTGATGGTTGAGTTCTCTCACCTCTCTCTTGTCACGACTGTCACGCCGTTATCATGAGACCGTTCATGCAAGGGTCATAGAGTCGCCCTGAATCATTTTTTTTAATGATTTTTGACTCCATTAGACTTTTGATGAGTTTACTGCTACGCTTGACCTCAGTTGTGAAACTCGCATCGGATTGCCACACCCTCACCGCACCCTGCTCGGTCACGAACTCGACGAGAGGGCGAATACATTGCTCAAAGGAAAACTTCAGATTTCAATTACAGGTAACGCGCCAAGATATTCTGTGCACTGAAAACACCACTTGCATTTCTAGATGGCAACAACCACTAATTTACGCTTCTCACAAAAGGGAGTTTTAGCTCCAAGAGCGTAGAAGTCCTGCTCTCATCTGTTTCTCCGCCACCTACTTTCCAAGCGGGGCTTGAGTACAACACATACGATAAATTGGGATTCGAAGAAGACCTCGATGAGTGGATAGAAGATCATACGTCAAGCAATACCCGGTATATCTGGGCTCCTATGGAATCATCCCCATCGGGTACGATTGGCAGCTTCGTCCGATTGGTATCGGAAGCAAACCAGTTGTCTGCGGTCAGGACAGAAATCCGAGCTTTTATCTACCAGTTTCGAGAGATCAGAGCACATCCACAGACCCAAACGAGATTCCGCTCGAGCAATTTACGTTTAGTTCTGGAGAGCTTCCTAGCTCAGGGTCTTACGTACCTCTCTCCTCGGACGGAGCCAAACACAGGTGTGGCGAGCTTGTTCTCATTATTTGAATCAGCCTCCTCGCCTGCGAAGCCAATAAGAAAAGACTCGCTTACAGTTCTATTCGTCGCTCTGAACGTTTGTCTTTGGCGCAACGGCATTCGCCCAATTTGGTCTATTTGGAACTTGGAACATTGTGGCGCCGATACGGAGGTGACTAGACTGCTGAGTGACTTCAAAGAGCTTTTCCGATTCACCACCTTCAAGCCTGCAATACTTTTTTCCTGGTCGAAACTTTCAATATTCGATTTCGAGGGAATCATGCAGGAGGCCGGCATTCATCCTTTTCAACTAAGGTCTCGGTATCAACGGTCTCAAAACGATAGCAACCAGACCTCCACGGAATTATTAGCCCCACACGGCAGCCACGCGTGCCTCGGCACGTTGTCAGGATTTATCAAGGCTGTCTTGTGCGACACAAAAGACGACGAGCATCGCCAAAGTTTCATGCAGTTGGCCATCAGGACAGCGCAGACAAGCGTATCAGACGTTCAGTGTTTACGAAGAGTCCATGAGGCCATCGACGACAATGGGAAGCTTGATCCACAACGCCTGCAGACTGCAATATCGGGTTTCCTTGCAAGAGACGAGGACGTTTTCACGAATAGCGCACTTCGCTGGATCCAATTCTGCTGCCGGCCTCTTTCTCCGACTGAACTTGTCACTGCCTTAGCCCTGGAACGGAGTATAGCCAAATCACATGAAACAGAATCCATCTCAGGTCAATGCCATCTTGGAAAAGGGATAGACGGCACCGCATCCGCTGGCTTTTGCTTCATCCAGAACCATCTTTCAGGTCTTATACAAGTAGTTGACGGCGAGTGTCGGCTTACTTACGACATTACTGGTGACCCGAACGACGCTGGCCCCTGGCATTCCGATAATGCCAGGTCCAACTTATGGATCCTACGTTGTCTCCTCCGACATTTGGGCGACGAGGCAAAGCGAAAAGGCCTCGACAGTCAAAGTTCACAATCTGGGTTCATCCGACCTTCACCTTTCCACCGCGACTTGACGACGTACGCTGCCAATTTTTGGTCCCATCACTACAGAATTGCTCAATCTCACACGTCAACAAAACTAGAAGCCGAAGCCATGGTAGCCAAATTTCTGAAGAGCAACCACGCCGCGAGTTTGGTTATGCTCCGATTTGTTCAGAACACTGTCGTAGACTTTACCAGGAGGACGAGTTCTGAAGACGGCATAGTTACTGCAGTGACTCTTCTCGTATGCCATGGTTTTCGTGATATCGAGGAGATCGGTATGCTTGCCAGCTGCCCTGGATGGGAAAGCAGCCCAAAGACTGTATTTCCTGCGCTTTTGGAGGTAGTCAAGTGCGGCCATACGGCACTTCTTTCGAAGCTCTCTGTCTCTGTGCTAAGAGATGAGGAAGCGAGAAAGGTCTTTTCAGCGATTGAACCAGGATTTCTCACACACGACTGCATCCATGATCTTTTCCGACAAGCGCAGTCTCGACCGAACTTTCGGCTTCCGTTCGAGTTGATTTTCTGCGCTGCATTCGCCGGCATCGAAGTAAGCACCAAATGCATCAAAATCATCAAGGATTGTGAGATTGACAGCTCCACGTGGCTCACATGGCTATTGAGGGCCATGGCTATCCCGAGATCGGATTCCACAAAGATGATTTCACGGCTTGCAGAACCCTACCTCAGCGAAGATCAGAAGGCTGATATCTTGCTCGCTGCAAGCCTCATATGCGATTGCAAGGACGTCCTTGCACTTATGAGGTGGCTCAGGTTAGATATCTCGACCCGATCTTTGCGAACGCTGATTTACTCGGGCAATCATATTGTTGTGGAAAGGCTGCTGGCGAGCCAGTCTCAGGACGAGTACTTAAACGGAGGACTGAAAGAGAGTCTCTTCATGGCTGTGGATCACTCTTCACTCGAGCTTGTGAGAATACTCCTCGGGCATGCTGACCTTACCCGAGACACTGAAGTCCTCATGGATGGCTTGAGTCGTGCTATTCAGAAATCAGCATCCAAGGAAATTTGTCTCTTGCTTCTAGACACAGGGATTGAGATTGAAGGCCGGCGTCAAGAGCAGTACTTGAGTGACGCCGTAAAGCAAGATAACACGGAGCTGGCACAAGTGTTCTTGGATTATGGAGTCAACATCAACGCTCAAGAGTCATCGGGTGAACCGCCCCTTTACTTGGCTGCGAGAGAGGGCACGCTGTCCATGGTGAAGTTCCTCGTCGAACGAGGCGCCGACGTCAACGTTCGAACTACCTTCAAGGGACTAACGCCGCTGTACGGAGCGACGCTTCAGTCGAGACCGGAAGTCGTAGAATATCTCCTAAGCAAAGGAGCCGACGTGACTATTCCCTCAAAGGCACGAAATTGGTCTCCTCTGGAGGGTGCGTATGACTATCCGGCCGTCATGATACATTTGGTCACCAAGGCGTGGCCACCCCCCGACTATCATCGGGTGGCAGAGTTCGGCGACACCCAATGTACAGCTCTTTTTCTCGCAGCGACATACGGCAAGACGGAAAGCGTCAGGTTGTTGTTAAAGCATGGCGACCCGGACATCGAATTCACGCCATCCTCGGATATCGAGAAAGAAAAGGCGGATACGAGAGGATATACTGCTCTAGCTGTTGCCAGCCTATACTCGCATACGGATATCGTGAGACTGTTACTAGAGCACGGGGCCAGTGTTGACCACCGAATCCCGGGTACCGGTCTGACACCGCTCCACCTCGCACACAGCGGCGATACGCTCGCAGTTTTGCTGGAATACGGCGCCGACAAGGAAGCTAAAGACGACAATGGCTACACGCCTCTCTTTTACGCCGTGACGAAGCAAGATTCGAATCTCACCCGGCGTTTGGTGAACGCCGGCGCCGATTTCGAGGCCACCGACAATTGGGGCCATACCGCTCTCCTGAACGCCTTGATCTATGGCGAGCAGAAGAGCCGCGAAGAGAATTGCAGATACCTCATTTCCAAAGGTGCTCCAGTCAACGCAAAGGGTCAAGATAGGTACGGGTCCACCGTGCACAGGTGCTGCAGGTTCGGTGAAGTAGAAGAAGTAGCATTGATCTTGGAGCTGGGGGGTGATGCGGGCCTCCGTTATGGGATGCAAGGCACCCTTCTCGAGGCGGCATGCAATAACGTCAACAAGAACGACTTGGCAGTAGTGAGATATCTTGTCGAGCAAAATGGGATTGACATCAACGGTACGGGGAGTTACCTCCGCAGTGCCATGGGAGAGGCGTTCCGGTCTGGCGACGAATCACTCATACGATACCTGCTTGAAAAGGGTGGGAGTTTCAACACCCTAGACGGCAACGGACAACCGGCATGGTTCAATATTTGTTCTAGAAAAGACGACGCCCTCGAGATCTTTGACATGCTACTAGCTGACTACGGAGCGGCCGACTTCTTAGCCTCGCTAAGGGATAAGGACAGAATGTCACGGGATATTCTGCACTGCGCAGCACGCTCGGGGCATCTGGGACTTGTTGAGAGACTTGTCGACCTGGATCCAAACCTAGTTGACAGCCGTGACGTCGACGGGTGGTCGGCCCTTCACTGGGCAGCGCGAATGGCCTCCATCGAAGGTCTCGGAGACGAAGATGTCCCGCAGAAATGGGAAGAGAAGGCTGAAATCATCAAGTTTCTAGCTCGCAAGGGATGTCCCGGTTTGGCAGAACGTGTGTCCGGTGGCAATGAACGCACCTGGAACGTACTGGAAATCGCGGAATACCACGGCGCGTCTGAAATTATCGTCGCTGCGTTCAGGGACGTGATAGGGGACGCGCAAGTTCACGTCGAAGCAAACAAGGCGTTGTCCAGTCGCGCTGGAAGATGGATTTGCGATGGCTGCAATACTGTAAAGTTTTCCCAGCGCCAACATAACGCCATATTTGAAGCTAATCTAGACAACAAAAATCGCAGCTGATTTGGGGTACCTTCCTCCTTTGCAGCGACAATGATTGTTACAAGAACTTTGGGCTTTGCTTCAAGTGCGCGCCTTACAAGGATAAGCTTCATGACCCGAAGCACGCCTTCGTCATTGACGAACGGGGGTCCCCGGAATGCCAAAGTCTGGTTTGAGCAAAATTAGGATCCATCTTCGGATCTCGGGATGGTGAGGGAACTGACGAAGATGACGCGTGGGCAAGTAGGGTCTAGAATGAATAGCAAATATGAAAGACGTCTGTCGACTTCATGATTCTTTTCAAGAGCCCTTTTCGCACAGTGAAGAGGACGAACTAGTAATGAAGCGCATGCTACTCCAGCCGCCTCTCATCAGGAACAATACATGTAAGGTATCGTGTGATGCCCTCACCGACTATCCCGTCGAGTGCTAAACGGTGGGGATACAAACGTTCCCCAGTTTTGTCCAACTCTGCTTCTGATATTCTTCCTTTAACTCGAGCCTATGAGGGAAATAGGGACGGATCAGCATATAGTTCGCTGTGACCCTGAATAAGACGAGTGTCTATGAAGTGACGCCATTCGGTACTAGGTGGGATAAGGGGAGCATCTGGTTATATCTCACAAACCCGCCGCAACATCTCACGCTTTAAACGACTCTTAGATACGACCTCCATCAAATCTCGACATTGGACCAAGTCGCCACGGATGTCATACAGCCGTCTCAATCCCCTCATCAATAACCCCTTTCCACTCATCCTTGAACACAAACAAGTCATGGTCACAGTCATGGGGTCTAACTCCATTTCCTACATTAAGTATTCGTATTCGAACGCGTAGTCGACGCCCCCAATGATTCCTCAAGAGGGCTATCTAGCATACCATCCCTCCCATCAGTCTCACATTCCCAATAACGCCATCAAATGCAACCCAAACGCGCCTATCCATGTCAATCCCTCCTCTCTCTCCCTCCACGGTGCCTCAAAGACCCTTCCTCAACCCCTCCGTAACCTCCAACAACATCCTCAACCCATAAAACTTGGCCACGCTCCAATACACACTCAACCGCCTCACGATATCCGCCCTCTTCACACTCTCCACCCACGTCCCGCTACACGTACAATGCTCCATAAACTCATTCATCCTCAACGCACCACACTTGCCGCACTTGAGATCCTGCGTAGTCCACTCCACCACAAACGCCTCCACGCTCGCCAACAGCGTCTCCTCGATGGCGTTGCGATCATACTCGGCCTCGCAAAACGTACACCGCCACGGCCGCGTCTCCGGTCCCAGCCGCCGCCCGTCGGGCCCAATCTCCGGCAACAGGTCCTCGTCGCGGCAGAAGTCGAGGTCGCGCGCCATGGTGCAGCTGTCGCAGCTGAGCTGGATCACCTTCAGGCTCTCGCTCGGGTTCTGGAAGGCGCCTTCCTTGCTGAACTCGCGCACGTCGAACATGGCGAGCAGCTCTTTGCGCAGGAGACGCGCTTCGAGAGTGATGTTCTTGTCGAGGGAGAGGACCTGCATCAGGGACTTTACGAGCTCCAGGACGGCGTTGCGCGAGGATAGGTGGGCGAGGTGCGAACCGGGGAGCTTGGGAAAAGAGTAGTCTTCCGCGAGCTCCGGGTGGAGCAGCTCGCGCTTCTGCAGGTTGACGAGGTTGGCAATGTCCTTCTTGAGGGGCTTCTCAAAGACTTTGCCCAAGATGATTTGTCCCTGTGCGCCCTCCGCGAGTGCCTTTTGCGGGAGTTGTGTAAGGCGTGGCGTCGAGGAGAAGTCTCCGTCTTGAGGGCGCTTGAGGTTGTGCATGAGTTGGATGAACTCAATGACCCAGTCCTGGAAGGTGGGCTGCAGACGGGTAGGGAGAAAAGTCGCCATTTGCCAGTGCATGACGGTGTCGAGAGTCTGCTGCTCTGCCTCCACCACCTCTTGACAGGCCTTGCCGCCGTAGTTGAATTCATCGTACCATACCAGGTAGTCCCAGTATTCCTTGATCTCCAGGTCGATAAAGTGGAAGAGGGGTTTGCTCTTGATCGACTTGATGATGTATTGACTGTACGCATAAGCAGTACCGACTTCGGCCTTGGTCGTCTGGAGCAGGAGGCGGTTCGAATTGGCAAAGATGACCTGAGAGCCGACTCGGCGGAAGTCGGCCATGAGCTGTTGGAAGGCCTTCTTGGACATCATCTGCACGTAATAGTGCAGAGCACGGTCGTACAAGAAGGAATCGGGGTTCTCGACCCAACGCACCAGATGTTGAACCATCACATCGGCCATGGTATTGCCCTTGCAGGCCTCCTGCCACCAATTCTTCACCATCTCTCGGAGAACCAGCACACCAGCGTTGGCGAACGTGCCCTCTGACGAGATGACTTCATCACCGGCCGCGTTCCCATCTCCGGCGGGGTTGAAAGAGATAGACTCGGAGCCTTCCAGCTCATTGATCAAAGAGGAGGTAAGTATAGTATTGATGGCCAGGTTCCTGACCTCCAAGTCGATGCAGACCGAGGAGAACGTGCCGGGGTTGTTGATCGAGGGCATCTGGACAGTCTCGAGCGGGCCGATGATGTCATCTTTCTCGTGGCCGGCGTGGTCTGGACGAGGGCTTGCAGACCACCATAGGACGACATTGTTGTTCTGTAATCTTCTGGCATATGCGATATCGATGAGGAAGCGCGGATCCTCTCGCTCCAGGTTACAAAGAGGAATTTCTCCGTACCGTGCGAGTGTGGTGAGATGCAAGATCCATGAGCCAAGACCAAGATAATGCCCAACAAGCCGTCTAGCAACGACTGCTTGCCAGCCAAGTGGCGGCAGAGAGCTGTCCGCGGCGTCGTATTTCAGTGGCAGCACTGGGAACTCGCCGAGAATCGGGACATCATTGATGAGCATGTTGCGCTGGGATGATTGAATAACCATCATGAGTGGTCGCAGCTCGTCCTTTCTCATCTTCTTCACAACGTCGCTGAGTTCCAAATGCGCCTTTCGCCTCGTCGTGACCTGGGTGATTTTGAAGTTCATCTTCTCCTGGTACGTAAAGCAATCCTGCCAGTTTGTGCCCTCGGCCTCTTCTCCTCGTCGAGCAAGCAGCTCGGTGTAAATCCGGGAGATGTTGGGAAGGTCTTGGCCCGAGTCTCTGCCCTTCTGCAGGATGATTACATGTGCCTCGTCCTTCAGAGTAGAGAAGACTCCAAAAATTTGTTTGTCCCCAGCAGTGACGTGGGAGACGTAGATGTATGCCAGAGGTGACGTTTCGAGATAAGTCTTTGCCTTCAGGGGGCGTTTCAAACCACATAAATCGAAGCCTTGCTCCAGGCCCTTTCCGAGGACTGCATGTTGCTGTTCGTCAATGGTGCAGAGATTACCCAACTGAAGCACAGCCCTGATATTTAGCGGCAAATGCTTCTCGTACACACCTTCGACACTAGGGTGGTTAAACAGGAGCGAGAACTTGTCCGCCTCATTGAAGTAGACGTCCTCAGGAACCGTCAGCTTGAAGAGGTGAACCGAAGAGTGACCATTGGGAAGCGTGTGGTTGACCTGTTCGACCTCACAGCCGGGGATATCAACGTCGGGCATTTCGCCACTTCTCAAGTTCAAGAACACCTGTCGCGGCACCTTGACCTTGAGCGAGTGGATCTTGGCATCAATGAGGACGTGAGCGTTGACGATACCCGGAGTCTCCGTCGGCTTGAGATGCAACAGCTGCCAGTTGCTCATGTAGGTCATGTGGGCTTGCTTCATGAACGTGTTTTGAATGTTGTTTTGGTTATTGCCGCGTCGGTCTCCGAACAGCTGTCGTCTTCGAATGCGAGCCTGCTTTTGAATCTTCCACTTTTGCTTTTGGTATTGCAAGAAGCCGATGTAGTCGTCTGAAGGCGAGGGCATAACCTTGGGCAGTGCGGCAAAGGGATCAGCGGTCTCAGCTGCCTCGGGAGACTTTCTCTTCTGGGCAGTAGGCTGCGAAGCGGCTACCACAGACGTCACCGGCTTTGGCTTGAGCAGTTGTGTGCCAAAGTCTTCCATGTCGGTTGCGGACCGACCGTTGCGGTTGGTGATGTCTTCCAAGGGCCCCTTGGTGAAGAGGTCAGTGAGCTTCTTCTGCTTCATCTTGTCGTCCTTGATGTTGATCCTGCGCTGCAGCCAGTCGGGGTGAGCAACACGGGGAACCGGGTTCCTGACTTTCTGGAGCGCAGCAGGGATGGTGATGAGCTTCTGGATGACGGAACCCAGGCGCTCCAAGTAGTAGTCCCAATCCAACAGAGCTCTCGGGTCTGTGTCAGCAGGCTCCTCCTTGAGCCACTTCTTGAGGTAGAAACGCTTCGTCGTCTCCTCGGCAGAGAAGATGGCAACCGGGATGGCTCGCTCGGTGACGGGTGCATTCTTGGGTCTGGCGCAGATAATGAACTTGCAGTTCAGACCCTTATCCTTGACCATCTGTTCGCCCAGGAAGTCTGCCAGACGCTTCGCCGTGGTGATGGACGTTGACTTTTGCGAACCATACTCCTCCAAGGTCTTGGACATGCTTCTGTTCTCCGAAATAAGCTCCATGAGCTCCTCGTCCGCTAGCGTTGCACCTTTGCTGTGCAATACATCAAGCCATTGGTTGGCAACCTTGGCAACGGCAGCATAACACTCGGCGAGAGTCTCTCCCTCCAGGAAGAACTTGAAAATCTGCTGCTGGAAGATCTTGATGAGCTTCAGCTCACCTCTGCGCTTCACCTCGAAACCCTTCAACTCGGCCAAGCTGCCGTCGTCGTTGAAGACTGCATAACGCTTCTTCAAGTTCTTGTCCTCTTCCTTGGACGTGGGCAGGACCATGGCCTTGTAAGGACCATCGACTTCGAAGAAGATGGAGTTGTCGCTGTGGGTTTCGTACTTCAGGGTCTTGGGGTCTGTGAGCGTCTGGTACTGGTGGTTGGTGAACTTGGCGTGGACCAAATGGTTCAACATGGTACAGGGGTACGAGATGGTGACCTTCTTGCCCCCCTTGGTCTTGAAGGCGAAGTTCTCCGGAAATGTGGCGGGAAGCATACACCAGATACCGTCCGTATCCAATTCCAAAGGACGACCCAATCGCTCAACGAGTGATCTGGCCAGCTGAATAATCGTTGCTCCCGTCAGACACGTAACACCAGCCATTTCCATGGAATACCATCTGGATCCCTTTCTCATGACGTAGCCATAGAAGGAGTTCAAGATAACTTTGTGGGCAAGCTGCAATGAGTCGAAAAGAATAATCATCTTCTTGGCCGCATCAACTTCGGTGGAGGTTGCGCCAGAGGATTTCAGGGCCTCCGTCTTGCCCTTCCAGACTTTGGCCTTGCCCTTGTAATCGTATCGACGATCACGGAAGTCACGCACGGTGTTGATGTAGAACGGGTTTTCTCGCTGGCAGATGATGGCCTCTTTGACAGTCGTCGTCGAATCGTGGATCTTGTGGTAGACCTTTTGCGAGAAGATCTGCAACCGCTTCCGCAGGAGAGCCGTCTGCTCGTCGGGCGACAGATCCTGAAACGTCCGCTGGGGCGAATTCGGCCACTTGCCGGGGAACTTTTCATTCTCCAGAGCGTTCCTGATCATGTTGTATTCGTCACGCTTTGCTGGCAAGTACTCTCCTCTCCATGCCCAGGGCATGCGTCTATCGCAAGTCTTGCCTGGGCGGTTGAAGTCGCATGCCGCACAGTCCGACTCTTGGATCATGGAGTCTGGTTGCAGACGATTCGTGGTCATGATGTTGGGGTACATGGACGCAACGTCGAGATGGTAGATCAGGGGTCGCTCGCTTCGGTTCGGTGTCTCCTTCAATGCGCGTAACCGGGAAGCGATTTGCTCTCTGATCTCGTCGTAGTTTTCAATGTCGTCCATGGACTTCTTTTCCTCCACCGTGATACTGAATTTGAGCGCAGCGTCCAAGTCGTTCAACAGCTCATCGACTGCACCTGTGTCAACTGCAAAATTGACGGGGATATCCGCGCGGAAGACACCGGCTTCGATACTTTCGACGTGGCCACCGACATATGTCTCTGAGTCAAGCAAGTGACCTTCGTAGAACGCTTCTCTCGGCGACACATGCTTGTTTGGTAACACAATCTCTTGCTGGTAGGCCTGCACCATCAACAACATCTCGCAAAGGGTACCGGTACCCTTTCGTAACGTGTCGTCACCGCCAAGCGGCAGAATGGTGCAGAGAGAGAAGATGAAGGGGTGGACGTATTTCATATACAGGTAGTATGTCGCCACAGCATCGGACACTGAGTACTCGGCTAGTGTCTGGGGGCGTTCCTGAGCGTAAGGCGTCATGAGCTCGGGGTCGAGCTCGTCAGGGTCGTAACCAAGCTTGGCGACGGTGACAGCTTTCAGACCTCGGGATCCCTGAGGCAGGTAGGAGTCACGATTCACCCAGTGGAAACAGTCCATGTGCACGCTGTAGCTGCACTTGTACTGGTCCTCGCTGTCCTTTTTCCAGCCAATCTCCTGGTACATGTCGATGCCGTTGATGCTAGCTCGGGCGTCGACAAAGGGCCAATCGAAAAAGTCACCGTTGTACGTCGCAATGACTGTCGGTCTCGCTTCCTTGATGTGTAGGAAGAACCTCTCTAGCACGGCCTTCTCATCCGGTTCGTTGAAAATCATAAAGGTTCCTGGGTATTCCGGTTTGGGGGTGTAATCAAAGTCGCCAATGTCTTCCGAGATGATTTCCCTGTTCGTGATCAGGAAACCCTGCCCGTCAATCATGTACGAAATCATCATGACCTGGTCGATGGCGGCGTCGGGGAATTTGAGAGGCAGTTTCGTCGTCTCGATATCGTAGGCCATAACTACTGGGTCTGCCATGGCCAGTCGGTCCTCGTTGGTTGTGACTTTGGTGACGCCGTGCTTGACGTCGATGAAGTACCATTTTCCCACCCGGATATCTATAAAGTGGGTTGGTTAGTCGTGGCCGGTTCCAAGCTCCGAAGGACCGAAACCTACCCATATCTATCATTACTCTTACATGGTACGGTACGTCGTACTCTCTAATATCGACAATGAAGTCGCTGGCGTCGGCAAAAGAAGCATTCGTTCGTCTATCGTCATCTCGTGAATCGTCAAAAAGGTCAAAGTCGCCATTCATCCTGCAAGCGTGTCAGTCAGTCAGCCATCTGATAACCCTCACGGCACCCGGAAAATAACGTACGTTGAAACCTCGGCATATGCGTCCAAAGCATCCACACTCTTCCTATTCTTCGCCGCAATAGGCATAATATCCTTCCTCGCCGCCAACAAGTCCGCCACATTGGCAAACCTCAGCTCTAGAAACGTGCGGCGATACCCCAGCAGGTGATTCGGCATCTTCAAGTCCTCCTTGTCCACCCTCTTAATCGTCTTGACGACGCCGCCGCCGGGTACGCGCTTCAGCCACTCCTCGACCTCGCTCTCGCGGCCCTTTTTCACGGCGATCAAAAAGTACGGGTCGTACTCGACCGTCGCCTTGAAGTGCGCGCCGTCGTCCTCGATGAAATAGCAATCGAGCGCCGCCCGCCCATTAGGGTTCCGGTCGTCCTCGACCGAGGTGGGCTGCACGTTGACGAGCCAGCCCTCCTTGCGCTTGCCGCCCTCGTAGCGGGCGAAGCCCATGTTCTCGTCGATTTGGTGCGCCAGCCGGGTGCGCTCCCACTTCTCGTCGGCCGAGGTGGCCTCGTTGCGGCCCGAGGCGGCGAAGGTGCGTGTCGTTCGTGACGGACCGTGGTAGGCTTGCTTGCCGCCGCGGCGGTAGCCCTTTTGCGGGCGCCGCAGGCTCGTGTTGGGCATTGTGGGCGCCTGTTGTGTGGTTGTAAACTGGTGGGAGGGAAGGTTTCGAGGTTTCTTGTTGATCGGTGTAGATCTCCGTCGAGGGACTCTAGGTGAAGAAGGTCTCTCGGGGAAATCGCAGCCTCTATGGAGTCATGAGACAAGAACAGAGAGACAGACGTCTAGGTTCGCAACAGGGGGGGGTGAGTTGACAGTGAGAGACTGGTGGTGGGTATCAAGAAGGCTCTCTGTCTCTGCCAAAGCCAACAAATAAAGGGAGGTCTGTCTTGGTGACGAAAAACCAAGAACAACCGGGAGAAAATGGGGTATTGAAGATCCTAGGAATAGGAATTGAACGAGTGGGAGAGTGGGATTTGTCACTCTTGTGTTCGAGAACGATAGGCATTGAGCTTTTGCGCATTGAGGAGTGGAGGGCCACTAAGGTATCCAATTACTCGTTGTCCAGGGCAAAAAAGGATGGTACCAAGACGCGTCTTCCCCGTCGCGACTTTACGCGAAATCTGCACGTTCTGCAGGCCAGAACAGGAGACCGGGGGATCCACTTCAATTAAGCCCATCATCCCGCGCGACAGCTGCGCTGCGCAGCGCACCTTGGCCTTTCTGCAGGGGAACTTAAACGCAGCCTGTGCACGGACCATGGACACCGGCCCAGCAACGAACGGTCGACGGGCCCAAATTCGGTGGACGTCATCTCAGGCCACGGGCAGACTTTGAGAGAGCGTTACCGGGGGACGGACCGAAAGTCGCAGAGTCGGGATTCACAAGAAGCAGCATCGGATTGCGCCCAATCTCACTCACACACTAGACACATAAAAAGCTATACTGTTGCACATAATGGCAGACTCACCAGACAACATCCCAGGCCCCAAGAAGGAAGGGCAGAAGCTATACCTCTGGTCCCGTTCAAGCCAAGCACCAGTCGGGGAGGGAGCTCCGGGTTCAACAACACCTACAACGGCATCACCGACATCATCACCATCACCGGAGTCGGCCTCCGACCCAAAGCTCAACCCGACCGACTTCCAGAAAAACTTTCCGACGCAGGACGGCGCCGCCGCGCCGGGGTACCCGTCCATCGGCGAGGCCGTCAAGACCATCAAGTCGGACGACTTCCTTTCCGTCACGCAGACGCCGTGCGCGCGGGACGGGTTCCTGACTGGTATCGCCAGCGGCGCTGGTGTAGGAGGATTCAGATATGTCTTTGGAGGTAAACGTTTTCCCTTTTCATTCCTCATTTACTTTGTCTTGATATGGAAATTTCCCTCTCACATCACCTCATCTTCACACTCATACTTCCCCCCCCCCCCCTCTCTTACACTCACTTCATGATGAAACCAAACCACTAAAACCTTGACCAGGCTCACCCATCAAGGCGGCAAACTGGGCCGTAGGCAGCTTCCTCGTCGGCTGCATCGGCTCCTACGAGTACTGCCAGATGAAGAGGCGACAGGAGCGCGTCAAGATGAAGCGCACCGTCGAGGTCTACCAGGAGACCATGGTCGACAAGCGCCGCCGTGAGATTGAGCAGCTCAAGCAGCAGGCTGAGCAGAGGAAGGCAGACGAGGAGGCAAAGGCCGCCAGCCAGAAGTCTTGGTACAAGTTCTGGTGAAAGGGAACTCGTTCGTGGTGGAGAGGAAGAAAGGTTGGGCACTCTTTTAAGTGATCTTTTTTGCCAAACCACGCCTTGTATGAATAACATTCCACAAAGAGGAAGGAAAGGAAGGCATCTGCGAGTGGCTTTGGCCCGCGATGCACACGTGTGGAAATAACTGTATCATCATCCATTCGAGTTTGGCGGGGGTATAAAAGAAAGACTATTTGTATCATTCCACCCATCCTTCCTTGTTTCCCTTTCCCATCATTCCGGTCGTAGTCTTTGCCGCGTGATATAAGAGAATAGCATGCTGATTATCATCCAAGTGATAAACCGCAATTCAGAAAAAGTCCATTCGTAAATGGACGCACCCATATGGTTCATAAACGCCCCCTATCCCTAACGCCATATGAAGCCTTCCATGGCCATTTCTTCAGCCTGGGCCATACCAAAGCCAAACCACAAGGCCCAATGATACCAGGCCTCATTGCAAAAAACCGCTGCACATGGCCCATCATCATACATTCGTCGCAACCGTGCTTGCTTCCGACTCGGTAAAGCGCACCTTTCGCACGCCACTGCCACTACCAGAAGAAGGCTTAGAAGCAAGACCAGCACCGCTCCCTCGTCTCCGCTGGCTTCGTCGGGCCCTCGCCTCACTTTCCTCCCGCTTCTTGTACTCGGCCAGCTGCAGCCGGCGCTTCTGTGTCCGCGCGTATGCCATTGCGGCCGTCGGCATGAACCCGACCCCGTTGATGCCTGTGCCGTCGTCGTCCTTGTCTTCTGGGTCGTAAATCGTAATCTCTTCCTCCTTCCAGGTGAGCGCAGCCCTGACTGGGTCTACAATCGTCTTCATCTCCTGGTCTTCTTGTTGTTGCTGCAGCCCAGCAGCAGCAGAGGCTGTGTTGGCGGGGTTGGCCTTGTTGATCCCCTTGCGGCCCTTTAGCGGTGGTGTGCCGGCGCGTCTCCGTCCTCGTACTTTCGGATCTTGTACTTTGTCAATCGAACGATGCGAGCGCTGTTGCTGTGCGCTCGTGGGTAGTGTTGCGGTGGTAGCAGCGGGATCGCCTTCTTCTGTGAGTTTCGATTTCGGGGTAGGCACTGGATCGCTCTTGACATCGGGGTCCGGAATGACGACCAGTGCGTCTGCGGCAGCGACAGCGGCAGCGGCAGCGGTAGCGGCAGCGGTAGCGGCGGTTTTGTCGCCCTCAATGTCCGTCATCTCCAGCTCAGGAACCTTGACTCTTTTGCGACTCGCAAACGGGTCGTCGTCAGAGTATCCGTACCCCCTGCCTTCCTTATGCTCGTCGCGCGTCGGGTCATATGCGGCAGTGCCATGTGTATATAGGCCCTGGGGTTCAGCAGCAGCAGCGGAGGCTCGGTTCTGTTGCTGGGCTACCCCGCCCCCACCACTATTCCCACCCAACGCCAGACCACGGAACTTGTGAACGACCTTGCTGTGTGGGCTCGCGCTCCCGTCCTCGGCGTCGCTGCTCTGGGGGTGGTCGGCCGGCAGCTGGAAGGAGAATTTGGAGGTTGTGTATATCGGCGACACCGGCGGGGCGTCTTCGTCTCTCTTGCGCTTCGGCGTCGTCGTCGGGGTTGGGAAGGGCTCAGCCATGGTTCTGTGCGTGGTAAGGTATACTGCGCAAATAGCGCCGCACCTAGACGGTGGATGGTGTGGGCTGATTTAGGGAAGGTATCTGACTCGTTCGGGATATTGTTGGCAAATAGGAATGAGTCGACGATGCAATAAGGCAAAAGGAGCGTAATTGTCGGTTGGTAGTATGTTTGGCTTGGTTAGGTAAGTTGAAGTTGTAAGTTTTAATTCTCGAGGATATCGGGTATCGTGAATCAGTGGCGGTCAAGAAGAGCAAGTGATCAAGGCAAGGTAAGGTGAGGTAGTTGTTGAAGAGAAAGGCTCTAACTTGGTCAAGTGATTGAATACATTTTAGTCTTGGGAGGCAGGTCCGGCAGTTACCCTTTGGATCTGGGCTGGTCCTTCCTTTCCTCAGTACAAACTTGCAAAATGCCCACCAAATGACCGTTACGTGGGCGCGATAAGCTAAACACACCACGCTAAAATAAAGCTAGAGCCCCTCGGTGAGCTGCGTACGTCGTGTACGCCATGGGAACCTCTCGCCTCTCTCGTCTTCATCCCATCTTTTGTGATCCCCCAGCTTCGTCAGAAGATTCAGCCAAATCGGGTCAGTTCCATCCCACACAGACGCTGCTGGCTAGCATATATCCCAAGACTCTCAAAGCTTGAAGCGCTGCTCAGAAGTAATTCAGCAGGATGAGGCCGTTGCGAAAAAGGCTCACCGACTGGCAAAGCCAAACGTCAGGTCAGATCAGTCAATAGATTCAAATTATGAAGCGGATTCATTATCCGTTCTAGGCAAGGTACTCATTGAAATTATATCCTCCCTCATAACCAAAGACCTCCAGAGTATCTCTACTCGCTCCAAGCCTTGTACACAATCCTCGTCCCATACGTCTCCCCCTTCTTCAACAACATCTGCCCCTTCCACTTATCCACATTAATCGCATTCACCCACCGACTCGGCTCAACGCAGAACCCGCTCCTCTTGCCCCGCGCCGCAACCCCTCCCACGGCGGGGACATCGATGCCCTCGCCCGTGTAAAACTGGAACGCCGGCTCCGTGCTCAGAACCTCGAGGTTGACCCCGTTCTTGGGGTGCTTCGCATGCACATGCAGCTTCAGCGGCGCCTGGCGCGTATCAATCGGCACGCCGCCCGCCTCCTTTTCCTCGACGACGACGAAGCAATCGTCCACCGCGGGGGCCTCGGCGCCGAGCTCAAACGGCTTGCCGCCCTCGATGCCCGGGAAAGGCGCGGGCCCACCGGTGGGAATGCCGTCTTCGCGGGGAAGGTACGCGTTCGTCGCCAGCGTCGCGATGGTGCCAGCAAAGGTCTCGTCGCCCGTGAGGTTAAAGTACGAGTGGTTCGTCATGTTAATCGCCGTCTCCTCGGCGCCGTCGACCAGTTGCGCCTCGTACTCCATGCCCAGCACCGAGACTTCCTTGCCGTTCACCTGCTGCGTGCCGGCCGTGTAGATGACCTTCACCTGAACCTTTCCGGGGAATCCTTCGTCGCCGTCCTCGCTCGTGAGCGAGAACTCGACGCTCTCCCCACCCTGGAGACCCTCGACGCCCGGGATCGCCCGGACGCCGACGGGCTTGGGACCTTCCCAGACCTTGGAGCTCCAGGGCTTGGCGCCGCCGTGCAGGTTGTTGTTGCCGTCGTTGGCGGCGAGCTTGTACGTCTTCCCCCCGTTGAGGGACTTGATCTGCGCCGAGGCGAGGCGGTTCGCGACGCGGCCGACGGTGACGCCAAAGTAGGGCGAGTTGTGCTTCTCGTAAAGGTCCTGGGTCGGGAAGCCCTGGACAATGTTGACGCCCTTGACCTTGAAGGATTGCAGGATGGCGCCCAGGGGCAAGAACTCGAAGGTGGCGTCCGACATTATGTGAAAGGTATGTGGCCTTTTTTGGGAAACGGGCTTGGTGATGGGGATAGGTAATCGATCGAAGTGTTGAATCACGGAATTCTCAGTCCAAGGTGAGAGAGAGCTACGACACAGAGACCTGTAATCACGCAGAGCTGTATTCCTAGCAAGGGGAAAGCGACCCTTTATGGACTGCAACCAAGAGTCCCGTCACTGGTTGACATGGCAAACATGCAATTCAGGCTATTATTGCTTGTATCTGCGCTTGTTGGCCGATGTAGTGGAGTGTTTGGACGAGGATGGCCGGTGGAGGAGGGGGGGAAACAATTGAAGAGAAATGACGGCGTCTGCGGGGACGCACGCCCGCGGCGGGGTAAATTGGAGACACAAGAGGACGTAGCTCGTGCGTGACATGGGGAGCTTGAACACTTTCCCCTCTGCTTGGCCGGTCCTCCCACTTCCTCAACACCGAACCGGGAGGCTCCTAGCCCCGTTTCGAGCGGCCATGCTGTTGTCTTACTGGCGCGTCTAAAACAACACGAGCAGCTTTGCGCCTTGTCTTCGTGTCTCTGGCTTTTTGGGGAAATGGATGGATCCAAAGTTGCCAAGTTCCCAGAGGACCAGAAGGGTGCTGGCGGATGGCGGATGCAGACACCATTCAACTTGAGAGGCCCGCTTGAGCTAGAGAACAAACTAAGACTGAGGTAAGAATTTGCTTCCATCCGCGAGCTGTGAGTGGGTGAACATGTTGTCAATTGTCCCGAATTCCTAAGAAACCCACCGTGGTCAGAAAATTAGTGCATTAATATCGCATATGAAGTACAGCCTTTTGGTGGCCCCTTGTCCCTTTCGGGCGACACTCCGCGATGTAGCGCCACAGAAAATAAAGAGACCTCATGCTTCCAAGGTACATATGATACAACCAGCAACAAGCACACTAATACGAATGATGGACCGCCAACACATGATACAATGTCCCATCCCAAAATTCGTTACATCAGTCCGATTCTTCGTCGTCGTCACCGAGGAACGCCAGGTCCGCTCGCGCCTTGCCTCGTGCCCGCGACGGGATGTGTGACTCCTGATCCTCATCATCATCGTCGTCGTCATTGTCTTTGGCGTTCTCATCTTCAGAAACATCATCCTTCATAGCCTTCTTGGGGGCTGGTTGGCCACGCGCCTTGCTTCGAGACGATCTGCCCTCTGCGCCCCAGTTCGCATTCATCTCCTGAACAGCTTCCAAGTCCGCCTCCAACTCTCTGCGCTCCTTGATCTCTTTGGCCTTGGCTTCTGAAAAGCGGCCATCCATTCCAATGTCTTTGAGCATGCCTCTTAAGTGCCTAATCTTGGCCTTGGTATCGTCTCCATATTGCTTCAACTCGAAGCCCCAGATCTTGCGAATACCACACTTGACCAAATGCGACTGTAGCTTTTTGATTTCCGCATCGTCGGGGTTCTCTGGGGCCGCCGGTGCCTTCTTCTGCTTGGTTGCCTTGGGCTTGGCCTTGCCGCCCGCTCCGGCTTCCTTCTTCTTACGTTTCGGCTTGGGTGGCTCATCTATCACGTCCGATAGCTCGCTAGTCGTGTCGTCTGCTGGATCCTCGGCCTTCTTGTCTTCTGAAGCTTCAGGTTGCTTCTCGATTGGCTCGTCATCCTTCTTTGCCTCGACCTTCTCCTCTTGTGACTTTCCCTCCTTATCCTCGACCTTGTCGTCCTCGCTGACAGGCGGGGAGCTCAAGGCATCTGAACCACTCTCTTCAACCTTGCTCGCACGCCCGTTGGTGGGTCTAGACGCCTTCAGCTTGGTAGGGCTCGCTTCTTCAGAATCGCAGTCGATCACAGGAGTTTCCTCCTTCTTCTTCCGCGGGGCTGCTTTCTTCTTCGGCTTCGGCTTTGGCTTCTCCTCCTCGGAGGCACTCGCCTCGGATTCTTCTAATGTGGCAGAGGCGCGCTTTCTGCGCTTGGCAGGTGGTGATTTTTCGGCTGCTTGACGCTTGCCAGACTTCTTTGGCTTCGCATCGTCTTCGTCTTCCTTAGGCCCGACGTCTGCATCGGGGTTTGCATTGCCCTCCACGAGGTCGGTCTAGTGTGATGTCAGAAAGACATGCTCCGACACTGCTGGCGGTACTCGTGCCCGTGCCAATGCCAGGGAGGGGTTTGGGTAAGTTACAGCGAGCTCCTTGATCAGCTTTTTGCTCTTGTCCTTCCATTTTCCTGAAGAGAGCATCTCTTCTTCGAGTTCGAGGTCTGATTCGACGCGCCTTCGGATGGAGTTCACGTTGAGGTTATCGATATCCGTCTTGAATACCTCGCGAACTTTCGCGAGGATCGTCGCCTCGATCTCCTTGTCTGAAGGAGCCATGCTTGTAAGATTCGCTGTGATGAATGGAGTCAATGGTGTAATTGAACGTTGATGCTGTCGTGAAATAGATTTACGATTCCATTTGGCTCGAAACGGGGTAAAATGCAGGAGCTTTGGGGCTCCGTCGCGCAGGAAGTCGCGTCGAGGGACGGTGTCTGAGCGCAGCAGGTGGATGGCGACGCGGGCAGGCGCAGATCAAGCGTAACCGGGGTAAGCTGCAATGGGTTCGACCGGAGTGGGGCGGCAGTCATCCGACGTCAATATCGGGCCTGGTCCGAGCTTTTCGCCTAGAAGGCAGGATGCGACGGCGCCGGGAGGAAGGAAAGATGGCAGCGTTATGCGCATGTTCGAATCAGTCAATCCTTTCTTGATATAACGCAACTGTCAGTCTTGAGAAACTAAGCTACTCCTTTCCCAAGTTCTTCTGGGTATCACTCGCAAGCCAGGAATAATGACGTACTGTCGAAAGTGGGCTTACTTGATCTGATTTGCGAGATTGTGTGTGATTGTGTAACCTACGTAAATAGTGCCGAGGATCGGTCTCGAAAGCAGCTTGATTATTTGGCGCGAGATGATGAAAGCTAGCACAGTCAGCAGTGTGAATGTGAGCAAGGTATTGTGGCTCTCTATGCTGCCGTACGTGCTATCTCCATGATATTACGAATGTGCAAATTCGGGTCCGAAATGATTTCAAACTGGTTCAAGTCGGGCCTAGGAATTATACAGCCAGTCACCCTCGCAACCTTGGACTTGCGGGTGTCAGGACATTTTGGTCCGAAAGTTATGGGGCCGT